GCGCGGTTAAGATTCGTGGCGTAACTGTTGATGCACGGCCGGACGGACGGACGGACGGACGGACATTCATGCGATTCTACAAGCTGCATCTGACTTCATCAGCTGAGCTAAAAATGAAGGCAGATTCCCAGCATGTAAGTAAATAGGTAGATGGGTTAGACAGGTAAAAACTCTCTGTAACCTGTATCGTCAATAAGATATAATAGGATATATCGTCAGTTAGGATTTTGTATCTGCTGCAGCTACGTCTATCGGTGTTGAAAACATTAGCTTGATTCCCCTGCGTCCGGGACTGACAGGGACTTTTGAGCAAGAGTGACTGGGTGTTTTAGACTCATGGGCAAGACTGCTGAGTAGAGCTCGTAGAACTGTAGCATATGCTGATGAGGGCAGCAGACACTATGATAAATGATCTAAAGTATCGCATAGAGGCTGTGTATTCACTGACTGATGCCCGGGAGTGTCACAGCTCTTGCATTCTACTTTATTCTGCTTTTTTTTCTATTTCTTATTTCTTTTTTTGGTTCATACATAGATGTAGGATGTAGATAGTAGATCCTACAGAGCTACTATAGATGTCTTGGGGGTAACATAGCTCCATCATTCTATTATAGATGTCTTGGGGGTAACATAGCTCCATCATTCTATTATAGATGTCTCAGGGGAGTTACATAGCTCTTACCTCGGCCTGGTAGTCTTTGTTGATCTTGTGCTGTATGAGCAGCATATTTCTAGTCTTCTCCAGCTCATGAACAGTCTCCGCATGTTCTGCACGCAGCCTCACTATCAACTTATCCAAATCTGCCAGAAATTTTCATGAAATTAAAAATTTTTTTATTCCACATATCATCTGAAGATGGAGAATTCGGCTGTAAGAATTTTTTTTAGCATATTACTGTTCTCAAATTGAATGCATTTAACAGAAGATAAGGTAGAAATGGTAACAATTTTTATTATGCGTACATTGATATTATATATGTTCGATACAGCTTATAATTAGACACGATTGAATCGCGTTCATCTTTGTAGCACAAACACTGTCACAACCTACTGGCACATGCGCTCAAATTCTTCTTCCATATTAGCATACCACCAAAAATACAAAAGAAAATAACAGAGAATCCCGCGCACCTTTCTCCTTCTCTTCATCGACTGCCTGCAGAAAGTCGAGCTGCTGCGAATCCTTCTCCTTGCGCCGCTTCACTAGCACCAGTGCCTCCTCTAATTCCGCCAGCTCCACTGCACTCTCCTGCACACACGACATCCGAAAAAGCTTTATCACCCCCTACTCAGCAGTCCACATACTTAAAGTATGTAGTACACTTACCGTAAATAGTAAACTCCGGAACGATTAGGCAGTGATGCTGATTGAAGAGTTAACATGTTCCAACTCGCGCGTGTGTGCCTACGCAAAACCTTACGCTATCGTCTATACACAACATGTATTGTACATGTTTGTCGATTATTTAATTTATACGCTGAATGTTTAGGACTAACCAAACCTCTACCAGTTACTGTCTTCCAATGTAACCTCTCTTTGTAAGAATTCGTAGTTAGTCAGACCTCTCAGACCTCTGACAGTAGATGAAACCACGCGATCAGCACACAGTTAACTCCAGCATTCGATATACAACACAGGAGACATTTGCTTACATCGATTAAGGGCGGATTATTGATTATTGATTTTGAGCGGTTTGCAGCGTTACCTTGGTGAAGAACTTCATTTTTTCCGTTAGCTCATCGTGCTGTTCCTTTAGCGTGTAATACTGGATTCTGAGTTGCTTCAACTCATCCTTGAGCTTCTCTGAGTCATCTGAGAGGAAGGTGGCACATTTTCATTACTGGCAGTCCATTCGCAAGAGCAGTGCAACAGTACATACAAGTAAATAACATGCTCTTGTAATTGAGCATAATAATTCTGCTGTATTAAGGAGGGAGTACTAAACTAGTCCACTATTATTCTCACGTACAAACCAATGGATGCTACCATGTAAGAAGAGAGATAAACGGATGAGGTGAGAGAGAAGTGAGAGCGAGAGAGAGAGAGAGAGAGAGAGCGAGGGGGGTAAAAGGGAGCAAGCGAGCGAGCGAGAGAGAGAGAGAGAGAGAGAGAGAGAGAGAGAGAGAGAGAAAGAGAGAGCAAAAGGAGGAGACATAGAAAGAGAGAGAGAGAGATCAGAGCGAGTGCCCACAAACACACGCACACACACGTGCACACTGACCTCTATGTGTGTTGAGCGTGTCGAGTACGCCCGTCTTCTCCCGTAGGTCAGCGCGCAGCGTCGCCTCCAGCTGAGCGATCTGCGCGCGCAGCTCTGCCTCCACGGCGCGGTGCTGCCGCTCGCGCTCCACGTCGAACGCACTCTCCACCAGCCGCTCGTTAGTCTGCCGCAGCACGTCGTTCTCACGCTTCAGGTCAGAGATACGCTCCTCCAGCTGACAAACAAACAACGTGAATGAGTTTTACAGAGAGAGAGAGAGAGAGAGAGACAGACCCTGTCTATTACATCAAAATATACAAACTCAATATAACGTGGACTCTAACTAATAATGCAGTCCAACAATTTGGTTCCGATTGTCAGCGTTATATCGAGTCTATATTGCACTCGACTGCACAGGACAAATAGTCTTCTCACACATGGTTTTATAGTGCACATACATTTCAGGGCTGTAGGCAAATTCATTTTGCCTGAGAGGGAAGGGCAAAGCCATGCACGGTTAGTATTCTGGGCAGGTGACCGTGGGCAGTGCGCCACTGACCACGTAATAATATCTACATTTGTCTGTGAGGTGGTCACACGCCTCCTCGACCTCCCTCCCGCCTCGCTATAAGGGGAGGGGGTCACACGCCCCATCCTCCCCTCCCTCCCTCCTCTCTAGCCACGACCCTGCGACCACGGATCGCGGTGTACTGAGTTTTCAAGAACGGAGCCATGCACGGTTTGTATTCTGGGCAAGTGTCCGTGAGCAGTGCGCCACTAGCTGCACAACACTATCTACATTTGTCTGTGAGGGGGTCACACGCCCCCTCCTTCCCTCCCTCCCTCCTCGCTAACTACGACCCTGCAATCGCGGATCGCGACATACCTCGACGAGGTTGCTCTGCGTCGTGTTGCCGGCCTTCAGTTCGTTCTCGAGCCGCAGACTGTTCATTTGCTCGTCCTTCAGCCTGCGGTTGACCTGATCCAGCTCCCGCAGCAGCTTCTCATGACTCACCTTTGCTGCCGACAGGTGCTGCGCGTGCGGCGACAGACGGTCGGTTAGCGACACAGGGTTACAAGTCACGGGTGGGTTAGGTAGGTAGGTAGGTGTCGGGGTCGTAGGTTCGGTTCGGTAGGTAGGTGTTAGGGTAGTGGAGTGAGGGTGCTAGGGGTTAGTGAAGCGACATAGTTAGTAGTCACGGGTAGGTTAGGTAGGTAAGTAGATGTTAGGGTAGTGGGGCGAGGGTACCAGGGGTTAGTGGAGCAATACAGAATTAGTAGTCACGGGTAGGTTAGGTAGGTAGGTAGGTGTCGGGGTCGTAGGTTCGGTTCGGTAGGTAGGTGTTAGGGTAGTGGAGTGAGGGTGCTAGGGGTTAGTGAAGCGACATAGGGTTAGTAGTCACGGGTAGGTTAGGTAGGTAGGTAGGTGTCGGGGTCGTAGGTTCGGTTCGGTAGGTAGGTGTTAGGGTAGTGGAGTGAGGGTGCTAGGGGTTAGTGAAGCGATACAGGGTTAGTAGTCACGGATGGGTTAGGTAGGTAGGTTGGTGTTAGGGCAGTGCTGCTTGTGTAGCGACGGTCGATTGGCGACACAGGGGTACTAGTCTACGGTAGGTTAGGTAGATTGGTGTCGTAGGTTGGTAGGGCAAGGGTGCTAGGGGTTACCGGAGCGATACAGGTGGGGTCGTTTTCAGAAACACATGTAGTTACGGCGATCTTGAGTCTCAAGTTTCGTAACTTGTGCGTGGCACCTCAGTTCAAATGCTATGAAATTTTAGCTATATGATGTCATAACTAGTCATGATATTCCTGACATTGGCCCCTTGTTCTACAATAATCTAGACAGAGCATTTTTATACATCAATCATGAATATTTTTTCATGGATTCTACTGATACTTTGACTGTTATATTATTGATATAATTGCTAAATATTATTATCCTGTATTTATTCAGTACCGCGCACACCGGTGCGTGAGAACGCGGTCATACCTGTTCGAGATTTGTGTACTGTGCCTGCAGCTGACCCAGCTTGGCAATCTTCTCCTTCAGCTGCCTCTGTAGTCGTATCAACTCAATGTTCTCCTGCACGTTAGCACTGCAGCAAGAGGCGACAACGCCTCATCAGCCAGGTTTCATACGTGAGCAAGGCATCCATCAAAACAGTATTCCAGATTTCGAGAGAGTAAGCGGTCCATTTTTTAACGACTGCGAGATTTTAGCTGAATACAAGCCTTGGCGTGGATGGTATTTTGACAGTGTATCTGAGGTGATGCTGCTATAAGTGTTACAGACCAATGGTTTTACTAAGTTAGTCGCTCATCGACTCCGAAACCAACACAAACTCTATGCTTAATTTAAGATTCCAATTAGGTTACGTAATCTTTCGCAATTACCCGATCAAATTGTTAGCTATTTAGCCATATTAATATCTTAAAAACCCTGTATATCTGAATCACTGGACGGTCATATGCCCTGTCCATCGAGCTGGCAATAAAGAGTATGGAAGGATGACGTTGGGCATGGGAAGGTCATGCAGCCAGCATCAGCTACTGTGCTCGTACCGCTGGTTGGCCGGACAATAAAGAGTACGGAAAGATGACCTTAGGCGTGGGAAGGTCACCTAGCCTTAGCTACCACGCTCATACCGCTGGTCGGCCGTCAGCTGCGACTTCAGCTTGAGGATGTCCTCCTCGTGTTCACCGTCCTTCACTCTCAGCTCCTCGCGCAGGCTCTCCAGCTCCTGCTCGTACATCTGCAGCTGCTCCTGCATCGCCGCCGCCAGGTCCTCCCTGCATCGATCGCGTCACAGAGAAAGGTCACACGAATAAGGTCAAAAAACAATCCCAGCGTCGATCGCGTCAGAAAGAAAAGTCACAAGAATAAGGTCAAAAAACAATCCCAGCGTCGATCGCGTCAGAAAGAAAAGTCACAAGAATAAGGTAAAAAAACAATCTCTGCGTCGATCGCGTTACAGAGAAATGTCACGCGAATAGAGTAAAAAAAAACAGAATGAGACCCCGGGCACGGCATGTTGATTTCCGACTTTCTGACCCCGTCTCGTGGGGAGGTTCGCAGATTTTGGCAACTGAGCGGCCGCTGGCAACGCGGTAGTAGTTACCTCAGGAATGAGTGTTTTGAAATCGCCATTGTAATTTAGCTATGTGAGGTCGAAGCTGTTTAGAGCAAAGTGTAAAGACGGTTTGCACAAACTTATGGTTTGCATAACAACACACTTGCAAATAGTGGCGATGCAAGCACCGAAGCTTAAATACCAGCCATTACGATTATCACATATTTACGCGCGTATGGTTACACAACACGTCGTTAAGTATCGAACATGATACGTCGTCACCAACGCTGCGCCAAAACGAGATCGTCGCCATGACGATGTGCAGCGGCGGTGATTAATGGAAACGCTGCGCAGACGCACTTACAGATTTCTGTTCTCCAGCCTGACATCGACCAGCTGGCCGTGGCTGTAACCTCGCTGCATGAGCGGCGACGGACTGCCCCTAGAGACAACAGATAGAAAAGAATCGCGCACTGAGTAAGCACGAATGCCTGACTGCACCCACCAGGTTGCCATTTATACGTTGACGTTATACGCGTTATACGTTATTATTAATTTTAGGGTTATTGCAATGTTAAATGAGTTAATGGAAAGTTTATGTTCATGGAGGCATGGATGAAACACCCACGCATGGAGGATGGGCACTGAAGAAGAATTTACATCACACATTACAAAAGAATGTGGCACTGCGAGCACGAACGCCAGACCATGGCTCGCATCTTGCATCGTGTCTGTGCGGACGCTAACCGCGCTCACACTCGCGCACTTGCATTCCGCGAGACTTGAGCGCAGACAGCAGCGCAGCTTGCTTAAGAGCAGTCAGATACAGGTACTAAAACGCACACGGCCGAGATGCGCCATGTGACAACGCCGTCGGTACTTCCGGTGACCCCAGACAAGCGGGGCGAACGCCGCGACTCGGCCACGCAACGCGCGACACAGACGCCATGCGACACGCGACACCACGCGACACAAACACCATGCGACACGTACGCCATGCGACACGCGACACGGACGCCATGCGACACGCGACACGGACGCCATGCGACACGCGACACGGACGCCATGCAACACGCGACACGAACGCCACGCGACACGGACACGCATGTACCTGATGGGTATCGGGTCGCGGCCGGCCACCCTCATGCCCTTCATGAGCCGCGGCTGAGACGGCTGCTTCACGATGCCCTGAAGAATCAATCAATAAAACCATGGTTTAAGGCGACGCCGCGTAAAATCATCGACGCCACTGTCCGGTTGCGAATCGACACACGTTATACGCGCAGGTGTGCAATTAGAGATTATTAACTTTAGGGTTATTGCAATGTTAAATGAGTAAATGGAAAGTTTATGTCCGTGGAGGCATGGATGAAACACCCACGCATCGAGGATGGGCTCATGCAAGAGCATGTGGTACTGCTAAGCAAGATCATAGCTGTGACATGGGGGGGGGGGCATTTTCAGTATACTCGTAATTTAGTGCATGCATGCTAAGCAATCGTGTTGCTAGCTGTAAAATAACAGCCCCTAATCACCCACAAATTTGAAGAAATTGTTATTTTAAACATGGTGCAGGGATCACAGCAATGGTGGTTATGTGCATATGTGTGCATGTGTACGTGTCTATGTCTACATGCATGCTTGTGTGTGTGCGTGTGTGTGCATGCGTGGCTGCGTAAGTATCTGTGTGTGCGTGTGTACCACATACCGTGTCAATCCGAGGTGGCACCCGGCTGTACGCTGTTGGCTTCTTTCCTTGCTGTGTAGCCAGCTGGTGTTTAGCCGACATTAACTGCAATTTTTAAAGTGACATTAGAGAGTTACGCACGTGTAGTAGGATCACTGACTGAAGTGCCTAATAAAATTTATGTTACTGAGACCCTATGCACAGACATGTACACATACGACGAAGGACGTCTTGAAGATTAAGGATATAAAAAGCCTTATAAGTGAGGAAAATGACACAAGATATCTGGCCCATAGTTATTTAGAAACAAATCACAATAAACTATTACTGGTAGTCAGGCTAAAACGTTGACGTATTGGAATTTTATGACAATCATCTTATTTGACTGTTTTATACAATGAAAGTTGGTATTTTAGGCCCAAATATCATGTCATTGATTTTCTGCCAATTTCCTGCAGTTTTCACCTCCACTTATTATTCATTGTTAAACAATAGATTTTTGGTCGTAATTTCTGTAGTTGTGATTTACAGTATAGCTGTCCGTTATTTTATAAGTAGCGTTTGTGATGAGCGCATGTGAACATATTTGCATGTAACATGTGCAGTATGAAGCAATGAATTTTTATTACTATTATATTTATTATTTATATTTATTTAATATTTATTGGTATTATTTATTAATTATTATTATTAATATCGTAGCAGGGGTGCCAACCAGCAGTCTGGCGCAGCAGCGTGGAGTCGTGTCTAAGCTTGGCCGCGATGAACTGGAGGATAGGTTCCTACGGCTGTACGAAGAAAACCTACTGCTGAAGAAGCATGGCAGGAACCAGGAGGACAAGATCAAGAGGTGGCGCCCGTCTATGTCTTTTAAAACATTCGCACGCGGCTGCATTAATGAGGGTTTTTGTGGTTAGGGGCCCTCAGGCACTCTCAGTTTGGGCCAGAGCCCCGCCCATCACAGGCCATTGACAGGGTTTGTGTGAGGGTGTAAGTGGCAGGCGTTTTGTTTTATTTAGCAGCAAACCTGTTTGAATGTTGACACTTGCAGTCAGTGTTATCGAAATTCAACGTCGGGCTCCGTCGGCGCCGCTGAGTCGACAGTTTTGCGATGCTGCTCTACAGTTTTTTGGATAAACAGGCCGCGCTGATCCTACAGCTATATCTTAATCACTAGTGAAAATTCGAAACACCTGCGAACTGTTACCTGTAAAGAAATCTGTTCATGCATATTAACTTCCCAGGGTATTTATTTGAAATACGAATCCGTGAGTACAACGGCGTGATCATACATGTTAAACAGACGCGTTCGCCTCCACTGCAATCAATCTTTAGTTGGCATTCAAGAAATCGTGCGTGGGATGTTCGGGACGCACCGGTTAAGCAGCAGGTTCCTAGAATCCAGTAGGCAGGCTTGGCATTCAAAAATACTTAAGAATGGGTGGAGCTTACTTGCCATGGTAGTGAACCCTACATTGTGTTGCCAGGGTTTAATTTACGTTGTCATGGGTCGTGCATGCACTCTCACTGTTCAACTTGGGGTGTGCATTGGAGTGCCTAGGTTGTGGAGTAATTCTCATTCATCCCCGTGCATTCACGTTGGATGTAAACAATTAAAGTATCACTGGTGTTATTACAAACGATCAGTATACGTTTAAAATAATATTAAAAGATTTAGGTAATATACCATGTTGAATTATACAGTATATAATATATAATTGGTCTCAAGTTTAACATCACATATCTAAGTTCATCTGTAGCTGCAGAAGCTACATTCGGTATTACTTACTAGTCAAATCGGCAAACAGCAAAGTACAGCCTCGTCGCACGCACTCGGTTAAACCCCGCTGTCATATTGTTTTTCACGTTGGAAAAACTAATATAACATTTTATAGGTACATACCTTACGTAAAAGCTTGTATCTACCAAAATACATTTACTTTGGACACACCAACACAGACGATTCCTAGTGGCCCATCAAATTTTACAGTAGTAAATTTTAACATAATTTTTTGCCTTTCCAGCCAAAAGTGTTGCTAGTTGTCAAAGCTACTTGGAGTACCCTGAAATGGCTCTAGATTGCATCCAGACTTATAATATTTCAAAAATTGTTCTGGCCGCGCCAGACCCACCATAGAAGTCCCCGATTGGTACCAGACCACAGTCTGTCCTCTGTGCTGTCAAATGAGAAGTCGTAGTTACCATAGGAAGCTGACATATAACAACGATTTGCAGTTTGCATTAATTGTGAACCTCGGCAAAGAAGGCATAAACGGTCACCAGACGAGAGAAGAAAAACAGAGGAATTATATATGTAACATTAGATAATAGACTAATAAACACAAGGAAGAACATGATATGCTGTTTATTACTGCGTAAATTTTCTCAAATTGCGCCTACAGCATTTGCTGGGCGGGCCTGCAGCCTTTTAGAGACTATAGGGCCTGCAGGCCTAGCAGCTTTTTCTGCTCAGTGGCAAACACGCTTGCAGTGCTAGTAAAAATCTGTGGTTTGTAGGTGTAACCACTCGCAGCTAATTTTAAAATACCTTAAGCTTAGCAAGTGCCTGTGGTTAGTAGTTATAGACCATGCTTGTTTTTTAGTTCCAGCGTGCTTCCTACTATTTGTGATTAGGGAAAATAGACATGTTGGCGATATATTTTGCGTTCGATCAATTTGCAGGATGGCAACGAAACTGCTGCGACTTGTTAATGACAAGAAGAAGACTGAGCAAGAGGGAGGAGGTAGGATATTGAATTACTTTCGTCGTCAAATTACGTGGCATCTTAATTGGATTGCACTACAGTATAGTTTAAGAAGTTATAAAACTGTCAAAATTAAGCATAGGCGTGAACCACAGTTGCTATTGTAGTCGGGACACAACCACACAGTGAATCACTGGATTGTATAAAGCTGTAAAGAACTCGAAGAATGACACATTAAGGCCAGGAATAAAACACACAATAAATTAACACGATGATTCATATTTACAGAAGCAAGATTCGCTCTCGCAAACAGATTCAAAAGCATTGCCGCTTCAACACAGTTCACTTAAGCCGCACAATATGAAGGCTCATACCAGTTTAAAAGCATGCTATCTGACTCTCTGCATCGCTAAGCTACGACATTTCTCTCGACTTTGAAATCGACACGCGCCTTTGCTTATACGAGCGGCCGCGAACTGGTCGTCCTCTGCTCTCTTCACGTTGGGACCGTAGTTTCCACTTATGCCAATACGGTAACCAAACACGAGCAAGAGCGACTTCTCCCCGCTCTTCGCTCCTTTGGCTTAGAATTCTAACGTGGCAGTTTGACACACAAGTCCCAAGGTTCCGCAAGAGCACTTATAGGCCTGGCGCCGCCTAGTCTATCGTTCGAGCCCGTCATCCTAAAATGCACCACCCATTCAAATATCATAGCCGCCATGCTAATATCAATAGCCCTCGCCCCTGCCCTACACGCAAACCACCTCGGCGATTGCAACTAGGACGCGTAGAAGGCAGCACTCGTATGCTATAATGAAAAAATGTGGAAGAAACCCTGGAGTTCCTGCATGCCTTGTGCAGGTTATTCTGACCAGAATACATCCTTTGCCAACGTGGCAAACACATGTGTAGCCGAGTTCAACGCCAATAACATCCAGTGTAATAGTCGAGAGCTCTGAAATGTTCTTAGGCCAGCTTCTCCTTCTACAAGTGTAACTCCTGCTATCATCCCGTCCGCCACTAATAGCAAGTCAAGGCATTGATGCTGTTCATATGCGCAAGACAGGCTACATTTATGTAAACTGCCTGCTTGCACTATAATTTCAGTTAAGAAGAGGGATGTCGAATTAGAGGAAATGATGGAAGATCTCCAAGGGAAAGTTAGGGATTTGGAATACCAAAACAATCTTCTGCAAGAGCGAGGGGTAAAAACATTATCACATACGAATGGCAAACTTGTACATGTGATCTCAAAGGCATCCATGCAGCAGTAAGTGGAGGTGAAAACTGCAGAACTTGGCAAGAAATCAATGACATGATAATTGGGCCTAAAATACCAACTTTCATTGTACCTAAAACAGTCAATAGATGATTGTCAAATAAAATTCCAATACGGGGTCAACGTTTTAGCTGACTACCAGTAAATAGTTTTTGTATTAGTTTTCTAAAATAACTTGATGGCCAGATATCTTGTGTCAGTTTCCTCACTTATAAGCTTTTATATCCTTAAATGCTTCAAGACGTCCTTCGTCGTATGGTAGACATGTCTGTGCATAGGGTCTCAGTAACAATAAATTTATATTAGGCACTTGAGTCAGTGATACCCTACCTACAAGCGGTGGCGTAACTCTCTAAAGGTGTGTCACTTAGAAAATGCAGTTAATGTCGGGGCTAAACACCAGCTGGCACACAGCAAGGAGAAAGAGCCAACAGCGTACAGCCGGGGTGCCGGAACCTCGGATGTGACACGGTGAGTGTGGCTAGCACACTGCGGACACACAG